TCCTAGATGATTTTGTAGATTTAGTTCAATTTGACTGCAATTTAAAAGTGGTATTATGCTTAAAGCGGAAGAGTTGTCACCTGCGCACACGCAGGAATTGAGTCCCAAGCGACGATAACAACACACGCTAAAAACGCAAAGGCTCATGGGTAGATGCTTGTTTGTAAACAATAACACGCTATGGCCATCTGGCACATGCGCAGGTGACGACTCCCCCGCTTTAAGTTCTTTTGTTCAATATTTTTGTGTGAAAATACTACCGTAAAATCTGCATTAGAAGCGCATCCCTAATAGAAATCGCATCAATCTTTTTAGCTCCGCTGTCGACAAAGTCGACACAGCAGAGCTTTTCATATTACTGATTGTCCGTCGTCGTCAACTTTACAATTTCAACTTCTTCTTCTAAACCGCAAGTCAGAATTTTTTCAAATTTGATATGCAAGTACCTTGGATGGTTCTTTCTCAGATTTGTTCATTTCATGTCAAAATCTCAAATTCTCTGATTTTGATGAATATTTTTGTTATTTTTGGTAAAAAGTGATATTTTCGACTTCTTGTTAAAAACGGCAAGTCCAATTGCTTTGATATTACATATATAGGTACTACATGTGGACCTCTCTCAGATTTGTTCATTTTGTAATGACATCTTCAATTCTCTAATTTTGCTTAATATTTTTGTCATTTTTGGTAAAAAGTGATATTTTCGAGTTCTTGTTAAAAACCGCAAGTCCGATTGTTTTTATATTACATATATAGGTACTACATGTGGACCACTTTCAGATTTGTTAATTTCGTGGTGATATCTTCAATTATCTAATTTTGATGATTATTTTTGTCATCTTGGGTGAAAAGTGATATTTTTGAATTCTTGTTGAAAACAGCAAGTCCCATTGCTTTGATACTATACATATTGTTCATTTTCTAATGATATCTTCTGTTCTTTAATTGAAATGTGCATTGCTAACAGCGGAGCTATCTCAGCCGACTGGCTGCTTGTTTAACAATTGAGAACCAAAAATTCATCATGCTCTAATAGAAGCCGCATCTCCTTTGTTGCTTTGTACCATTTTAATAGAAGCCACAGCTTCAAATACAGATTTTACAGTACTTGATGTTCACTGTCTTGACTGTCAAACTGCTGCAATATGCCCTGTAGGCCCTGTACCCCACCCGTTTGTTTGTTCATATTATATTCATTTCTCATCACATAAAATGTATAATTATGTACATTTCTCTCTCTCTCTCTCGTTTCAGGGTTTTTTCAGAAGAAGTATTCAAAAGAATATGCAATATACATGTCACAGAGAACAGAAATGTGTGATAAACAAAGTGACACGCAACCGATGTCAATACTGTCGACTTATGAAATGTTTTGACGTCGGAATGTCCAAAGAATGTAAGAAGTTTATTATTATGGTGTACATTAGAAATTCAAGCTGGATAGTGTAAAATACAAAAATAGTGGTTGCAGGGCAAATTTTGAAAAAAAAAATGTCTGTTATGTAAAGGCCAAAATTTGCATTTCAATACTTATTTTTATAATGAAATTGTTTCTACATATCTCAAATTTTGCTTGCTGATAAGTGAATGGGTGGGTTTGTGAGTGAGTGGTTTGGGCAGGTATGTGAATGAGTGGATGGGTGGGTTTGTGAGTGAATGTGAGTTTGTAAGTGAGTGAGTGGTTTGGGAGGGTTTGTGAGTGAATGTGAGTTTGTAAGTGAGTGAGTGGTTTGGGTGGGTTTGTGAGTGAGTGAGCGGTTTGGGCAGGTATGTGAATGAGTGGATGAGTGGGTTTGTGAGTGAATGTGAGTTTGTAAGTGAGTGAGTGGTTTGGGTGGGTTTGTGAGTGAATGTGAGTTTGTAAGTGAGTGAGTGGTTTGGGTGGGTTTGTGAGTGAGTGAGCGAGCGGTTTGGGCAGGTATGTGAATGAGTGGATGGGTGGGTTTGTGAGTGAGTGGGCAGATATGTGAGTGAGTGGTTTGGGTGGGTTTGTGAGTGAGTGAGTGGGCAGGTATGTGAATGAGTGGTTGGATGGGTTTGTGAGTGAATGCGAGTTTGTAAGTGAGTGAGTGGTTTGGGAGGGTTTGTGAGTGAGTGAGTGGGCAGGTATGTGAATGAGTGGATGGGTGGGTTTGTGAGTGAGTGAGTGAGTGGGCAGATATGTGAGTGAGTGGTTTGGGTGGGTTTGTGAGTGAGTGAGTGGGCAGGTAGGTGAATGAGTGGATGGGTGGGTTTGTGAGTGAGTGAGTGAGTGGGCATGCAGGTATGTGAATGAGTGGATGGGTGGGTTTGTGAGTGAATGTGAGATTGTAAGTGAGTGAGTGGTTTGGGTGGGTTTGTGAGTGAGTGAGTTGGTGGGTATGTGAATGAGTGGATGGGTGGGTTTGTAAGTGAGTGAGTGAGTGGTTTGGGTGCGTTTGTGAGTGAGTTGGTGGGTATGTGGATGGGTGGGTTTGTGAGTGAGTGAGTTGGTGGGTATGTGAATGAGTGGATGGGTTTGTGAGTGAGTTTTTGAGTAAATGAATGGGTGGTTTTGTGAGTGGATGAATGGGCTGGTGTGTGAATGGATGGCTGGTGAGTGGTTGGGTGGGTTTGTGACTGAATGTGTGAGTTTGTAAGTGAGTGAATGAGTGGTTTGGGTGGGTTTGTGAGTGAGTGAGTGGGCGGGTATGTGAATGAGTGGGTGGGTTTGTGAGTGAATGGATGGATGAGCTTTTATGGTGAGTAAATGGAATGTAATTCATTTATTAATACTCGGCTCCATTTACTATAGGTGTGCGGAATGATCGGAATAAGAAAAGAAAGGCGAAGCATGAAGTGACAGAAAGTCTAGAAATGAATACTGAGATGGAGCATATCATGGATATTGTGATTAAGGCTCACATTGAAACGTTTCCCAAGGATACACCAAAACCAGGATTCAAAGTGGTAGGTAGTTTGTTAATTCATTTCTCCTATATATGTTGGTGGGGGGTAAACTATGTTGTGTTAAAGGGTGACCAAGTATATTTAATAAAGTACTCAAATTTGCCACCAATTATGTTATCTCCAGGGTAGTTTTTGCCTAAACAATTTTATAAAAAAGAAATACATTCTCATTCATATGCACCAGATAATGAAACAAAACCTTCATGGTACCAACCTTGAATGCATAAAGGATGAAGAAAATAACAAGCTAAAAATTCAGGAAACTTGTGGATTCCTGATAAATATGTAAACCTTTTTAGCGCTTATATAAATTCCATATGTTTTAAATTGATACATGGAAGATTATGAACTATGTCTAATTATGTTTATGTAAAAAATACAAAAAAAAAAGAAATTTTCTGGCAAGAACATTAACTCCTTAATTATGTAAAAGGGTGCACTAGGAAGTTGCTAATTTAAGAATTAAAAAGCACAGTGGGTTATTGTATTAAGCTATGGGGGTGGCAAGGTTTATTTTAATGAGTGTCATACCTATATGTGCAAGGAAATTTGTAATTTCTGGGGGAAAATTTAAAAAAAAGAAATCTTCTGTCTTTGTTAAAATCTATTTCTGCTACTTTCCAATCTCTGTTTTACTTAATCTTTGATCTGTACTTATTAGTTCTGTCGCATTCTTTCCACCCTCTTCTCTCCCCTTTCCTCCTATTCTATTCTAGTTATATAATCCCAGAGCTGTCAAAACCTTTCCCAGCATTCCTTGCACATGGTAGGTCATTCCATTTGGTGGAAGGGGTGAGCAACCTGTGTCTACACTTACACTGCAGGTTTATCACCTCTTTCATCATTTGCCCATACAAGATACAGATGAACAAAATCTTGCTATTTCTTATTCTTACATTTTGCTTACAGCCTGCCAACCTACGAACTGATGGAGTAGGGGCTGATGTCCTGCCGATAATCACGGTACCTTTTGATCTTGCTCCTTAATCCCCTTTGTATAATGGAACACCTAACCAAACCAAGTTGTGCCATTGGTAGCCAATTATTATAGATGAAAGAAACGCATCTCAGTTATGTGTGCATTGATTCTAACCTCCAACCCCTGCTTGACTTCGACTCTTGGCATGATCTCATGGTTTACTTTGTAGATTGGTTCATCCCATTATTAGAAATAGGGGTGAATTTGAGTAGTCATGGCACAGTTAACTATTAACATTGAATATATTGTTTAAAAAATCATTTTCATTTTTATTGCCATTTTGTTGTTTTTTTCACTTCATGTTTTATATTCAAGACTTCATATGATTCTTAAATTTGTGTGTTTCTGAACAACATGAATCAGCATATTCTGATGGTACAAGTCTTCTGATTGGTTAACTGAATAACATGAATCAGCATATTCTGATGGTACAAGTTTTCTGATTGGTTAACTGGATAACATGAATCAGCATATTCTGATGGTACAAGTCTTCTGATTGGTTAACTGAATAACATGAATCAGCATATTCTGATTGGTTATCAACCCAAACAGTCCAAAGTTAATGGTGGCTTTATCCAAACAACTTCTGATGACTGGCCAATTGCTTACTGTAGAAAGGAAAATATTTCTAAGAAGATTTTCCAGTTTCGTTCAAATCCCAACCAAAATGGTCATTGCTGGGAGTATTTGGAAAAGATTATTTTTTTTGGTGGTATTCTTGCTTTAAGTCAATTTGAATGTTCCATCCCAGACTCAATCTTGATCTAGGGTGGACTGATATATTTTTCAATATCTCTGAATGCATATTTTGCAGGGAACTGTTCATGCAATTTATTACTTTGACTTGATGTGATATTGCTTCAAATTCCTGTCTCCATTTTGTAAATAAGAGAACAATCAGATTTTGAAGTAAATGTTTCTGTGAGACATTTTGATAATAATGTTGAGAAAAAAAAATCCTGTTTTTGGCTGTGCACAGTTATTTGACATGTTGACGCCTACTTGAAATGTGCCTATGAAATTTGTGTTCACCCAAAATTGCTCAAATTAAAATAATTGTGTTGTGAAAGAGAAACATAGCACTTGGAAACAATATAGTGTCATAGCGCCCTCTGTGTTTGAATTGAGAATTGATGCCCCATTATTGTTAGTAGAGGGCGCTATTATCATCTATTTGTGGGTGTTGTGTGATTTTACTCGGGAATAGCAACTATAATGAACAGTTGCGTGTTTGTCTGTTTTCTTATTATATAAAGCAAGTCATTGCAAGGATACAAATTATGTCAGCGCCCTCTGTGTCAAAACTGAGACTAAATGTCATTGCCACCAGCAGAGGGCACTGTTATGGCAAGTAATGAACAGATACACGTTTGTGTCTGTTTTCTGACTATCATAATGTTTTCTTTAAATTTTTAAATGAAAAACGAAATTACAACTATGTAATGTTAATATAATATATATAATATATGTATGTGATAATAATAACAATGAAACAAAATTAGACGAATTCTTTTTCAAGTGATATGCTTTTACTCAGAAGTAATTTTTTGGTATTGAATAAACAAAAGAATACCAATGCAGCAGCCACTAGAGGGCACATCTGAATATTCTCCTATTATTGACTGTGTATACATGATTATCTTTGCTGCAGGTGATTTTTCCGTTGAATATGTCACATTTTCTAAGTTCACCCTCAGACCAGTATTTGTGGGTTGGAACAGTTAGAAATTTTCTCATCCGCAAAATTTACCATTGAATCAGTAACAAAATTACATGCGATAATAGAAATGCACACCTAGTTTATGACAATTGTGTCCCTGTCAATGAACATTTGGGTAAGAAGTGCAAATGCTCAGATGTCCCTCGGACACAAGAGTTTGCTATATTTTAAAATACTGTAAAACACATTGAGATAGCTACATGCCATTTTAGTGAATTTGACCCAATGAATGAATTAACAGAATTTTAATTTAGCTAAAATGCTAACAATTTCAATACTTTATTCTAAATTCGCTACATATTGAATTAGCATAATTTAGTTGAAATAGCTGAAAAAACATTATGTTCACCAAGGTACTGTAAAAAATACTTTATTTTCGCTTGGAATTTATTTTCGCTATTTTCGCTGAAGGGATGATTCCGTGAAAATAAAATCCAGCGAATATACTTTTTTTCCCATATTTCACATTCAACTCATCCAAAAATCAGTGAAAATAAATTCCACAAAGAACGCCCAAAAAGCCTTTTCAGCGAAAATTAATTCCAGCCGAAATAAAGTATTCCACAGTAGTCTGCAGTACCATGAGTTATTAACTGATAGATTATTTTATGCTACAATTTACTGTACTATTGATATGCACAAAAAGGTTCTGCAGGGGTTGGAGTATTAATCTATGCTTATTAATCACCTAATTTGGATATTTCCTGATTCCCAATTTGCAATGAAATCATTTCAGCATTTTGACTGTTTGGACAGTTTTCTGGATTTTGAACAGGTCAGTTTTGTGGATGGTCACAGAATTTGATAGTGTGAGTAAAAGGGTTTCTAGGTCATCAGGTTGGCTAAATTATCCCAAAATTATTTGCTGGTTACCATGGAAATGCATGATCTGAATTATTAAATTTTTATCAAAATCTAATTAGGTATGTCATTTTCAAATTTTGGACATTCTTGTGTGTCAAATGTTGGTACAAAATAACCTTTTTCTTGATTGAAAAGATGAAATCCAATTTATCATACATATTTAGGATGAAAAAGCGACCAGAACCCAAGTCATTTTTGGGGTCTGTTTCATTGATGGTTAATGTTTCATTTATTCCTTGTCCTGACCATTTTTTTTTATTATTTGTTTCAAGGCTGCCGATCCTTTAGTTCCGAAGACGGGAAGCGATACAGATTTACTTATGTTTCAATATGTAACAGACATGTCGTCAAGGGCAATCATTATGGTCGTTGAGTTCGCCAAAAAACTTCCTGGATTTCTGCAACTGACGACACCAGACCAAATCACGTTACTGAAAGCGGCATGTTTAGAAATTATGGTAGGTGACTTTTATGGCATGTCAACGCTTCCAGTTGTTCCAAATCATGCAAACAAAGTAACAAAGTATTACACTCTGTTATTAACTATGCGCAAGGTCATTTGTTTTGAAAAAAAAATGAAAATAAACAGCCGATTTGTATTATAGTGAAAGTACTGTAAAAAAAGTGTGTTCACACAGCAAGTATACATTAGGTGATGCCAAGGCCATGCCGAAATAACATAGAAGTTGGTTGCCTATAAAATGCAGAACTGGATTCTATGTAGCACTGCACACACACACACACACGTCTATTATATTGCAGTCCTATTACAGTTTAATTAAGCTGTTCATGTATCTAGTGAAAACAATATTGTCTTTCATTAAAATACTTAAAATTCAATGAAATTAAACATGTCTCGCCATTATATCAACCTGACTCATCAAAATACATAGTACAAGGTTCCCTCAAATAATCAACAAAGAGCAAATAAAAAAAGATCGAACCTGAACGACTGATTTCCCCATACCCTAAGCCTTATTGTGGTGATCATAAATACAAACTTAGGTTCATCATGCTTTTAACTTTTTCAATTTCCTGGAAATTCCAGTCAGATGCGTGTTCACCTTAAAGTTTAATGTCCACACACAATAGAACTAAACTTCAATGATTTTACAAATATGAAATTTACAATAACAAACATGTTGAATACTACAAAACATTTTCAAGTTCACCATTTCACAGACTTGGAATGTATACTATATTTTTGTGCTCAGTTTTGTAGATCTAGCAACAAAGTGAAATAGGATACAAAGTATACACATCTTATTCAGTTCTAGCTTCATTTCATGTAGTAGTATGAAAGAGCCTTTGCACCTGTGTTTTTTTCATCCATCTGCAATATTTGTAACCATTTTCTTTGAAAGTAAAACATTAATATATATTTTTTTTTATTAACAGGTTCTCAGGATCAGTTACAGATTCAACAGGGATGACGGAAGCGTTACTTTCACATCGGGTTTAACATTGTCCAATAAGCAACTAAAAACAGGAGGTTTTGGAACCTTAATGGATACGATAGGACAGTTTGCCCAACAAATAAGTAGCCTTAATCTTGATGATACAGAACTAGCTCTGTTATCAGCGATTTGTCTCATTAGTGGTGGTAAGTTACCATATATTTCTAGTTCTGTAATTCACTTAAAACACATTGTGTTTGCAAATTCCTGAGACCAACTCTTAGACACTAAAAGTAAGAATGTAACAAAAACATTTGTTATACTGTAGAATACTTTATTTTCGCTTGGAATATATTTTCGCTATTTTCGCTGAAGGGATGATTCCGTGAAAATAAAATCAAGTGAATATACTTTTTTTCCTATATTTCACATTAAACTCATCAAAAATCAGTGAAAATAAATTCCATACAAAACGCCGAAAAAGCTTTCCACAGTATTAACCTTTTCATCATCAGACTTTCGTGTTAACAATTTTTCGAATGTTTCTTTAATTTTTCCGAAAATAAAGTTTTAGTAAATTTTCAGATTTTACTCAAAAAATTTGGCTATTTTTGTCTTAATCTTCAGACGGGAAGTGCAGACTATTTTGTGATGAAAAGAGGGAACTGGTGGTGAAAATCTTGAGTGCATTAATTTAGACAAGTCATTGAAAATAACACAGTACCCGTCAAAACTTTTGAAAGTTCTCTTTGTGCTCGTCATATTAAAGCGAAGGGGTTGTTGCGAGCGTGTCCTTGAAACTTGAGTTCCAAGTGGCGTATACAACAGATTGTTTATTTACATCAAAACACGTGTTCCATGTAGTAGTAATATGGCCAAAAATAAAAACAGCCATTATTCGGCCATCTTCGATCTGATTATGAAACACACTGATATGTATGTGCCAAATACGGATGAAAATGATACATAAATTGTGGAAATATAGTAGTAAGGCCAAAAAGTCAGATGGCTGTCAATGGGCCATCCTTGACCAGATTTTGAAACAAATTATCACGGACATGCATCCTAACATGTATAAAGTACATGTATGTACCAAGTTTGAATGAAAACTGACAAAGCATGTCCAAAATACAACATTTTCAAAAAGCAAGATGGCTGCCAGTCGGCCATTTTGAATCGAATCGCTAAACCACTGCATGTGCATATGTCCCACATAAAGTACTAGGCACATGCAAAGAATGAACGGAATCGGTCCAAGGGATTCTGAGATATGACTCCGGACGAACGAACGGAGACCGAATTATAAGTCCCCGTTTTCGGACTTCGTTCGAACAGGGACTAAAAATATATATGTGAATAGTTCAGATGAGTGGAAGCCAAACATAAATGTTTACTTGGTAGCATATCTGAATGATTTAGTTTACTACAGAAAAAAGCACTGTCTGATGTATGGGTGCACAGAAGTATGTTTTAATTTTAACGTCTTTGATTTGACATTTTTTTGAATTAATTTTAACCATTCGTTCTTTGTACATGTTTATCAGATCGTTCAGGGCTTGAAGAACCACTGAAAATTGAAAAAATGCAAGAACCACTTCTTGAAGCACTCAGAATCTATGTGCGGCGGAGGAGGCCGACAGAACCGCATGCTTTTGCCAAAATTCTTATGAAGATCACTGATCTAAGAAGTATCAGTGTAAAAGGTAGTCATGTGATTTCATTCAAAAGTATCCATAGCAACAGCTGATCTACATGTAGTACTGTACAGAAATAATAGCATTCATTACCACAATGCCTGAACATGTCCAACTTTGACAATATGAAGAAAAGTTGTATTGAACCACTCACTCATGTACATTAAACACAGGTTGTGCAGAACACATTCAATTCCATAGATGTGTTCCTCAATTTTTATTAGCTCCGCTGTTGGCTTAGTCGAGTGGAGCTTATCATATGAGTGATTGTCCGTCGTCGTCCGTGTCAACTTTTTACTTTTTTGACTTCTTCTTGAAAACTATAAGCCTGAATGCTGAACCTTGGATAGACCTCTCTTAGATTTGTTCATTTCATGATGGTGATGATTATATCTTCAATTCTCTAATTTTGGTGAATATTTTTGTAATTTTTCGACTTCTTGTTAAAAACCACAAGTCTCATTGCTTTGATCTTGCATATATAGATACTACATGTGGACCTCTCTCAGATTTGTTCATTTCATGATGATATCTTCAATTATCTAATTTTGATGAATATTTTTGTCATTTTTGTTAAAAACCACAAGTCTGATTGCTTAGATACTATACATATAGGTATCCCAGATAGACCTCTCGCAGCTTTGTTCATTTTCTAATGATATCTTCTGTTCTTTAATTGAAATGTGCATTGCTAACAGCGGAGCTATCTCAGCTTCTTGTCTTTGATTAGTCTTCTAATAGTACTCCTCAAGGTATCTTTAATTATAATTAATTTTAATGCTGTTCTTGATATTTTTCAGGCGCTGAGAGAGTTTTACATTTGAAGCTTCAGATACCAGTTGATATGCCGCAAATTATACAGGAAATGGTTGAAAGTGACGAAGAAAGCACGGAAAATGATGACGAGAAAGGCAGTGCGACGACTTCTGTGCCATCACCTGTGACGTCGACAAAGCAAACTGCAAAAATTTCATCATTGGAACCTATAGACACACCAATTAAAAAAGAACCAGTTTCTCCGACGCCAACACAAACTACGCAAACATTGAACAGCCCAAAGGAACAAACTTTTGAGACTTCAACGTGATGATTATGGCTGTTTCGTTAAATATTTATATGAATTATAAAATCATGCAAACTACATTTGCAGTAAACTGCTCCTATATATTAAGATGTATCATTTTACCATAACTGTTGACTGATTTGTCCGTTTCTAGCCCCAAAGTGAGGCTCGTGGATATTGCCAAACCAGACATAACTCCCGGGAGTTTGGAAATGCCGATGATTTATGGTGATTACAAAATTGGTTTCAAAATGAACATGACTTCAGTCTGGAGTACCTACAGCCTTATTTTGGAGTCAGTTAGCAGGGCACCTTCAATGTACATGCGTGTATAATTCAGAAGAAGATACATATTTTTAGAATTTGTGTTAGTGGGACCCCCAATGTCATATGTGTCATTATTACTCATCAGTATCCCAGTGCCGCTAGCCTTTAGAAATGCCGCAATATTCGTCCAAATATCCCATCCCTGCTGGTCTATATCATGTAATTAGTAAAACAGATTACAATTTAGTATACACATGGTCTCAAAAAAAGGTATGATGTATTTTACATGGATAGGGTGGTGTTTTATTTCACGCTTCTTTTTCATAAAAAATCTGTACAAAAAAATTTAAATTTAACGTTTTCCCCCCTGACGCGTGAAAATTTCCTTTTTGCAAAAATAAAACACAACAATTGTCATGCAGTGTGCTTTTATGTAAACAATATGTTGTACATGTCGCATGGGACTCACATTGAATACTACGTACTGTGATGGCTAGGTCATGTTAGACTAATTTATTGAGCATTACCAAAAAAATGTCTGCTGGAGTAAGGAAGATAAAGAGTCGTGAAAAACGCACAATGTATATCACAGGATTATATTCTCTTGTTAACTGCAGAGGTATTATGTGACATGTTTCGTTTTGACAGATTCTTTGAAGTTTTTATTTGGGCATTGATTTTTTTTTTGGCGGAAGTATTATTTTAAAGTCCAACACCACTCAAAATTCAGTGTTGCAGCAAAAAAAATTATAAAAATAATTTTTGTTTAACTGTATATCATTTTACTTGCTTCTTGTTCCCCTCAATTGGCTCAAGATCAAATGTGATGTGCTTTGCCACCCCGCCACCACCCCCACCCCCCAAAGAAGAAAACCTGTCTTCCAACGAACAAACGTTAAAAAATGAAATTCTGCTAAAACTCCTTATGAGTATTAAAACCTTATCAAGTTTTTTCATAGATTTTTTTCTTTGATTATAAACAAGGTCAGAATTCTGTATCGAGGACATTTTTTTTTTTAAATTGCCAAATTTTTATTGTAACATTCGGTCGAATATACCAGCTAAACTTTGAACAGTGTTTCAATTCCTACCTCAATTTTTTTCTAAATTTTCACAAAGTATCGTATTACCTCATGTTGCAGTTCTTTGGGACTGACCGAGAAATGTCCTTATGTAGCATTAACAAAATCAGTTTTCGGAAAATGCAAGTCAGAAGTTTTTGTAACATACTTTAATTGGTTTAGTTTATTATAATGTCTTGTTATGTATTCTTGTATCTTGGGAAAAAATTTCTGATCTTTTCTGTGTTCGGGATATTCATTTTCTGTAAATAGCGAGTAAGCTCGCTCAGATTTCACCACTTCCTTTCATTGATACATCTTTCAAGCACCATGTGACGATCACAAGAAAGCATTTTAATGTCACTGTAGTTTCTAAGTAACCCGTAGTGCAACATTTAACATCACCACCCCACAATGCAACATCCAAGATGGCTGCTCCCACAATGCAACATCCAAGATGGTCACCCCCACAATACAACATCCAAGATGACACTCTATTGCACAAACATATTTAGCAGACTGTGAAATATTTGTTATAATTTTAACTAGCTGATAAAAATTTGAAAATTCTTAATCAGCGTGATTGAATTCTATTTTATTGAAAAATTTCACAAACACCGTTTAGATTTGTTTAAGATTAGATTTTTATGCCTTGAAATATTCTACGCATTCACTGGCAGTTTATATAAAGTGCAGAAACTTTAGCAGTGTTATATATGGATAGTTATTTTCCAAGCATCGCATATATGGTAGTGCCATATAATGGCTCATTTTCAGAGATTTGTAAAGAGTATGTTCTCACTTTTTAATATTTTCACATTTTATCTGGTGATATTACATGACAATTTTAATTTGCATAATTTTTTCGAAAGGGAGGCTCCCTTGCACCTGCGAGTATAAATATATAGTGCTGATATATATATATATATTTTTTTTGAGTTTCTTTGAATGATTTGGGGACTTGTCCTCCAAGAAAGTTGGTTGTTTCTTTGAGGGTGTTTGCAATACTTTGTAATATGCTGCAGTTATTTTTAATGAATCATATCATGCATCTTGTTGATTCTAAAACTTCCTGTTTTTCTTTGCGTTTATGAATTTGTCTGTCTAGATTATTCCACCGCCATAACCAATTTTTAGCATATTTTAATTGTTAACCCTTTGAATGCCAATAAACAAGCTTCATAATTTTGATTATAAAGACCTGCAACTAAAATTAACAATCGAAAAATGTTTCATTAAAATGTGGCATTCAGGGGATTAAAACCGAAGGGTGATGGTATCATTAAATTTGCAATGAAGCGCACAGTTATTGAGTGTTTTTATTATAACTTGTATAAATATAACTATGTATATACAATTTTAAAAGTTTCTGCCAACTGTTAATTGAATAGATGTGAGATATGCACCTGGTAGCAGCGGTGGGATAAAACTTGACAATTCGACAACTTATAAAACATCCTAGAACGTTTTCATTTCTGATGCAGGTTTCAAACAACTTATGAATATTCGTGAGTATTTTTAGTTGGGGTTGTTTTGGAATGCATATGGGAAAGCATGGGATTTCAAAATATATGGAGATGAAGCGGCAACAGATTTTTAAACAGAGAATAAAACTTGTTATCTTTGATTTCCAAGCATATCAACTAAACTTTACAACTTGGGCATACAAGGAGGCAAGGTTTCAGCAAACTGTCCAATCACAAGCTTGACATTTGTATGCAAATTAGGAATTTTGTAACCAATCATAAATGAAAATACCTAAATTATGCATATGCAAATGAGACTAATAGCCAATCAGATTGACTGTTTTAGGATATTGACGAAGTGGTTGATAATTAAAATAGAGAAATATTTTTTGTAGTGGGGGGAAGAACTTATTAAATAAAACAAAACTTTGTAGTATAAATGTAAAGCAAATTTTTTTTTTTTTTTGGTTTTAGAAATCACAATTCAGTGAAATATTTTATTCACATATTAATCATTTGCATATTTAAGTATACCATTGTACTCTGTTTCAACAGAATGTATTGGTATGGTTTGACAAATATTGCAGTTACAAGAAGTAAAAAAAAAAAAAAAAAATCTGTTCAAAACAGTTTACTTGTAACCAAATTGTAAACAGATGTTAACTCGCAGCAAGTATTTCATAGTTTGGTTGAAGCCATATGTGGGCATAGGTTCTTGTGAAAAAAGATAAGGGGTGAGGTACAAGTATGCACGAGAATTGATCACAAGGTCCGACTGATCAGGAATTACTGTGCACTTGCACTAGGAACGTTTTAAGCTCTTCGATGCAAGTGTCCGGCATATTGTGTAAATACGCCGATACAGTACTGTAATACTAGCGTTGTAAATGTACTATACAAGATGTACTTTGCCATGGGTTGTGACTGTATAGCGAGAATAAACATTCAGTCTGACAAGCGAAATTAGTCTTGTGTTTTTATATACAAGTCCAGAAATACAAATTTCGACCCACATACTTCAAAATAACATTGTACAGTATTTCGGGGCGAGCCATTCTGATTCCTGTCCAACTTTGATTGAAGAGATGCATATTCTATACAAAATGGAACATTTATGTCATCTAAATGGAATACCCGTCATGAAATTATAATTCAAACTGACGTAAAAATGATATTTAAAATGCCACATCAAAAGATAAATATTCATGACCCAACATTGCACAAATGGCTGACATTAAATTCTTTCTGTAGCCACCACTAGAGGGTGCTGTACAGCAAGAAACGGTCAGTGCACAAAGTGTTTCATTTCTGCTCCATGCCTACGCTTAGCCAGCCAATGACCAGAATATGCATTTTTGCTAACATGCTAGTAAGTGAGAATATCTGGGGTCCCCCCCCCCCCTCCATCAGCTGCCTTCAGTTTCTAAATGTTGCTAATAAATAACATTTTAACCGGTCTTGTGAATTTGGGAGACACGTGGCAAGGACAACTGACTGTTAGATTCAGAAGCCTGTGATTCTATTTCAATAACTGGAACATTAATGCTTAGTACATTAGCAGTCGTCGGCTCATACACGGAAATCCGATTTTATTACCAAATACATGACCCAGACCTCTGTACATGTAAATGTTTATTTTAGCTAGCCACAGCTGCTTTCTTCAGGTAATATGTTAAAATTGAGACCTCCTGGGTATCTTTCTTCCTAGTTAGCGATTACCAAAGTGGTGCACTCAGCACATATATTAACTTCAATGCAGGGTACACGAACCCCATCCTGTGTCCGTCTTGACTAAATCTTAGCCAAAGCCAATGTTTAAGGAACGTTTCCCATAAAATGCAATGAGAAAACAGTTTCAGTTCATCTCTAATTTAATAATTGCTTAAATATTAGTAATCTAAAGAATAAGGTACTGAGCGAGACATATTAAATATAGAAATGTAAAAAAAGTTGAAATCTACATGATAAACGATTCATGTATGAAAATTAAATTATCGCGTTCTCTGTAGAAACAATTTTCCAAAAAATGTTTCATTTTGACTTGTTAATTTATATTCATAATTAATAAAATTGTTTGAATTTATTTAAAATACAGTGTATATAATAGAAATCCAATTTCAGTTTTACTGTTGAAAAAACTTTCTGAAATCTGTTGTTTATGAAACTAAATGGGTTTACATTATGTAAAGAATGAGAGATTAAAAAAATCAGATCAAACATGGGTGACCTGATGATGTCAGAGGGAGTAAAAATAATCCTCTACTCTGTTTGAATAATGATATTGCATAGTTATAGTTATTTGTCATGGATAAAATCAAGACACTTTGTACACCTCCATTAATGTCTGAACAGAGTTATCAGAAAAACTGTACGTTACATCCGAGGCTGCAGCCATACACAGGCACTGCAGCTTTAGAAGGAGTCTCTGACAGGAGTCCTTTTCGATGGAACTAAGAAAATCCAGCGACAAAGTGAATCTACTTGTTTTTGAAAGGTTTTCTAAAATTGAAACAATTGCATTGGCATCTTCAGGAACAAAGCATTCTTCCAAGGCAACCAAGATGTCTCCTAGGAGACCAAACGCGATCTCCATCTTGAAAATCACTCCTAGTTGCTCTCCTCCGATTTTAATGAGAAAATTGTATCTATCAGTGTTGGTTTTACAGTAGCGTTTCCAATCTCGTGCAAATTCATGTCCATTCTTGATTATTTTTGTAGTATCCTGGAAAGACAAACAAGAGAAAGCTCGAAATTGCAGTGATGATTGTTTCACCCTTTACAAATTTCAAAAGGTCAAAAGTCAAGTAGCACAGGAAATGATTTTTTTTCATCATAAAACTAAATATTTCTGGGGTTTTTATGTCTATGTTGCAAGAAGGTAACAGTAGGATTTTCAGTGTAGCTGAGGTAACAAGACAAGTATTTATGCTTCTCGTCTCTAATTGTATATACAAAATGTGAACAACGTAATTGAAGATAAGAATCCAGAAGAGTGTTTTAAAAACAAATTGGTCACCAATAGTCCATTTTGTATCAGATCAATGAGATAAAATGATGTGCATATGTCCATGCATGTCCAGGATCTGGTTTTAAAATAGCAGAAATGCTTGATTTTAACAAATATTTTTGTCATTTTTAGTCAAAAATTTTGTTGACTACTTCTTGAAAACTTCTACTCTGATTGATTGGTAAATGTGTACCTTGGGTGGATCTCTATTAGCTTTGAACACTAATAATTCACAGACATATCCTTCAACCAGAGTTGTAGAATTAACACTATCATGGAAGGTAAGAGAAGAGGAGAGAGAGCATGCTATTGTTCTCCCTTGTTCCAAGATCACTAACTTATTTACTTGGTAAACATTTCTGTTTCAGCTCAGAAACAGTCAAAATTTTGATGAAGATAAATGGATACCAAAATCACACAACATGACCAAATCACTGATTCTTGTAAACAACTCTCATATAAAATATTAAGTGTTCATAACAGAAATTGTGATCTGATAACAAGTTTCCATGACCCTACCAGGGTCAAAGTATCATATTTTTCACGCACCCAGACAAGGTATTGGCGATCCGCTTCACTGGGATTGCCCTCATCACTTTGTGTGTGTGTCGTCTTCATGTATTAACTCTTCTGCAATTTTTTGGACTTGGCATGCAGGTCACATTTTCACTCTAGTTACATGTAGGTGGTAAAATCTTAAAAAAACCTGGCCCACTGTTGCAGTGGAAATGGCCAAAAAAAATGATTTTTTTCAGGCTAAATGTATGTCCTTCAAATCCTGAAGTAAAAACCTCTGACATATCTCATTCTACTCAACTTAAGTGTGAGCCTAAAAGTTATTATTGTTACCAAGTTATCAATATTGGTCAAACTTGACAGGGATGTTACACCTGCACTCTAGAAAGGTAGAAAAAAAAAGAAATTCTGTCCTTATGTTGCCATGACAATGATGAAAACTTGAGGCTGCAACTTCGCACAAAATGTATCCTCATACAAATTTTTAAGTCTAAATCCTGGACATATCTTATGCTAATTTGCTTGAGTGTGTTCCTAAAATCACTAATTTGTTTTTGAGTCTGTCCTACTATTACCATAGCAACACTCAACAAATATGAGCGAAGTGGATCACCAATCAGCCTACCAGCTTGTTTAAATGTCAGTTTGTCAAAATGAGGAAACTATTGCGTAAAAAACATGGTTTTTTTTCAACATCAGTGCACATTTAATGATGATCATTACATGTGCACTGATGTTGAAAAAAACGATTAAGTCGACTATGCTTATCTGAAAGCTTATCACAATAAAGCCCCACTTGAACATTCAAACAACAGGACATGTATTTTTCCACTTTTAAACAAACAATTTTACTAAAGGAACAGAATGGTCTTTCGTGTACTCACTCTGGAAAACAAGTATTTCATTTCCAGTGGAAGGCCTTGTCAATGACCTATAACGTTCCGTGAACCGCTCAGCGTATACATAATGTCGTCTATCTAGTGTGTAAAGCAATTCGTGGTCAAGATGTTTTTGTCAGTCCCAAAAATTGTTGAGCCAAAAAAAATAGTTGAGTTGAGCCAAAAAAAATAGACAATGGCGAAAAGGCAGAAATAGAAATAGAAACAAAAGATTAAAACCCGTCCCCTCTCCTTTTAGGAGAATCCACACACAGCTCCTTAACACGGACATAAACGCTCAGTTTGGGCTAAGAAATCTGGCCAGTTTTAAGAGCCAGCTAAGCGCCCAAAACGCCATTGAATTCAATGTTCATTTGGAAGATTTACTACGGTACTAAATTCATAATTACTCATTTTGGCATGCCATTTCTGACATGACAAACAATGCAAGCACAACTTGATATTGTTCTCCGCAAAAAATTAACTGACGATGAGATGCTGTACTTCCTGTATTCTCCAACCTACACTTTCTGAATTTGCTTTGGTATTCTTCTATATCCGGAGAACTAACATGTATACCTTCCTACTTACTGTACTCTGTAATCATAGTTAAAATGACTGAAAATGTGTATATTCTTAACATGTTTGGGTGTCACTTAGCCCGTACGAGTTTAGCTTAAATCTTAACCTGTACTTCTTGTAGCGTCAACACTACTATTACCTCCATGGTACATTTATCCTCCTACATTTGCAAACAAAGCAAAGGCTATTTGATTCCCCATGAAGGCGCGACAGTGTCATGTAAATCATTATCGGATAATTATCGTCTAATAAAATCTAATGAAATGTTGGCAGAGATGTCTAACTTAATCATTTTTAGACATTATTAGACGATAATATCGATACTATCGGAGAAAAACAAACTGCCTCAATAGTTACCCAATAAAATATGTCTAATTTAGACTATTTTTTAGACATTATTAGACGATAATATCAGAGAAAAACGAACTGTCGCAATAGTTGCCCAGACAGACCTGTCTAACATAGACATTTTTAGACGATAATATCAAATAACATTAAAAAGTGCAATGTCGCGCCTTCCTCTGATTCCCTGCATTGATGTTTATGTAACTATGCATGCCTTTATTATTAGACTAGTCTGAGCTTCATTTTGCAGGACTCTACTCTGTTAAAACAGCTGACTCGTGTACTCATCAT